GCCCGGCTAATTTTTTGTATTTTTAGTAGAGATGGGGTTTCACCATGTTGGCCAAGCTGGTCTCAAACTCCTGACGCCAGGTGATCCGCCTGCCTCGGCTTCCCAAAGAGCTGGGATTACAGGCCTTAGCCACTGTGCCTGGCCCCAGGTGGTTTTACAGACCAGAAATTCCTGGAACAAAAACTACGCAATATCTTTTTTTTTTGAGTCAGGGTCTTGCTCTATCACCCAGGCTGGAGTGCAGTGGCGTGATCTCGGCTCCCTGCAACTTCCACCTCCTGGCCTCAAGCGAATCTCCCGCCTCAGCCTCCTGAGTAGCTGGGTCCAAAGGCACGTGCCACCACGCCCAGCTATTTTATTTTATTTTTATTTTATTAAGTTTATGTAGAGAGGAGGTCTTGCTGTGTTGCCCAGGCTGGTCTCGAGTTCCTGGCCTCAAACGATCCTCCCGCGTTAGCCAACCGTTGGGATTAAGGCGTGAGCCACGGCCCACGGCTCAACATCGCTGACAGGCAACCTTTTAATGTCCTATCTGCCTCCTCTATTAATTGTATTGTCTGTCAAAACAACGATGTTTTGACAGGGCTTGAGTCCCAGTGGGGAATACACATTTAAGCAATATATTAGGAGACCCTCCTTATCACTGGATTGAGGGCTTTCAGCCTAGCCTCAAATTATTTTCTGAAAAATAACTTTGGCTACGACTATTTTATCTTACTATGTTGCTCCAAACACTCTAATCAAGTACACTTAACCAAAGCTTGCAGTGCGTTTCAGAATGGAATTTTTATGGTGAAAGGTGAGGGTTAACTTGTACCAGTCAACCTAATTTCAGCAACTACCTGCTTTCTGATCTTTGAGGCCGTTTATTCAAAAGACAATAAGTGGGTATAGACTGTGTGCCAGGCACTCTTCTTATTCCATTTAAGTGCCGTAGCCACTCTGTGTGGACACCGTTGTTATTATTGCTGCCCCATTTTGCAGATGGAGAAACTAAGCACAGAGAAGGGAGTTGCCCAGAGTTCCTTAGATAATAAATACAGAAACTGGGCCATAAATCCTATCTGCCTTGAGAGTGTAGGATTTTAAGCACTATGCCATTGTAACTGAAGAGGTGTTCACAACTAGAATATAATATATGCTTTTAAGTTGCTTACTGCCTAGTTGAGAGAAATTTATTAATATACAACAATATCTAGAGAGTGACTGATCAATTATTTACTACGCAGAGCCACACTAGATGAGGAATGGGATAGTGAAGGAGATGACTTCGTGGTGGTTTGCTCTCCAATCTTCTTCTTCTTCAACATTGTTTTCACTATTCTAAGTTCTCTGCATTTCTGTATTAATTTTAGAATCGTTTTGCCAATTTCTACCAAAAATCCAACTGAGATTTTTATTAGGATTTCATTAAATCTGTAGGTAAATTCAAGAAGATTTGACATCGCAACAATATTGAGTCTTCTGATTATAAACATGGTATATCTCTCCATTTATTTAGGTCTTCTGTATTTTTTCCCCAGATTTCTCAAATATTGTTTCAAGTTTGGCCCTAAGTATTTCATATTTTTGATGCTATTATAAGTGGCATTAAAATTGTTTTAAATTTCTGATTTTGCAGTACTAGTACAGTCATAGGTCGTTTAATGACAGGAATATGTTCTGAGAAATGTGTCATTTAGTGAGTTCATTGTTGTGTGAACAAACAAACTTAGATGACATCGCCTGCTACACACCTAGGGTATATGGGAAGGCCTATCACTGCTGGGCTACAAATCTGTGCAACATGGTACTGTACTGAATACTACAGGCAATTGGAAGATAATAGTCTTTGTATATCTAAACAGGTCTAAACATAGAAAAGTTTCAGTTAAAATACAGTATAAAAGATAGAAAGTGGCACACTTAATAGAGGGCACGTACCATGAATGGAGCTTGCAGGGCTGGGAGTTGCTGTGGGTGAGTCAGTGAGTGGCGAGTGAATATAAAGGCCTAGGACATTACTGTACACTACTACAGGATTTATAAATACTGTACACTTAGGCTACACTACATTTACTTTAAAATTTTTCCTTCCTTCAATAATGAATTAACCTCCACTTACTATAATTTTTGACTTTATGAACTTTTTAATTTTTAAAAAACTTTTTGATTCTTTTATAACAACACAGCTTAAAAGACAAGCACATTGTATGGCCAACTCTTGACCTCAAGTGATCCACCGGCCTCAGCCTCCCAAAGTGCTGGGATTGCAGGCGTGAGCCACCGCCCCCGGCCTGTCAATATCATTGTGTTTCTGAGTCTATCCATCCATTCAAGGAGCGCTCACATACAAGTCACTGTGGGTTACCGCTAGGCTGAGATTGTTTTGCTTTTTTAATAGCTTGCCCTGAGAAGCATAATGATGATTTCCTCTTCTGTCCCCTAAAAGAACCTGAAACTGTAAGTCTGAAAGCGTGGCACAGGGAGAACTGCCTAGGTGAGGGCAGCTGGCACGACCCTTCCCACTGCTTTCCTAACATTCCTAGCATTCATGTCACAAGCAAAGGCCACCGTGCCCCCTGCTTGAGCATGCTAGCCGGGCGGTGGGGACGGAGGCAGTGCTCTCATGACGTTCGATTAACCAGTAAACTTCATCACAGGAACAGCACTACAGCACCCAAGAGGACTCAATGTGTAGGGGGAAAAGCTTTGGAGAAAGTGGAGGGTCGGAACATAAAATAATCATAAACTAGGCGTCCCAGATGGCATCTGGGATGGGAAGTACAATGATCATTAAAAAAAAAAAAAAAAAGTCTTGGACACTCTGTCCTACACCTTTCTGAAATGGCACAATCTGTCAGACCACATCTGATGCAAGGAAGAGCAAGACATGAGCGCTTTTCCCGGATAACAAAGCCAAGACTCCCATTCCTAAGCCCTGGCTCAGGTCTCCATCTCTTAAATCCAAGTGACCTCTACAAACTCTCCCAGAGAAGGTGCCCAGAACCTTTTTGGAAGCGAGGGACAGCGTTACTGTCTTTGGGGTTGACACCTGCTCTGAGTA